CCTTTGAGGGGGTGGCCGCCCCCCGGAGGTGGAAACCCCCCCCCCCCCCCCCCTTTTTTTTTCCCCCCCGGCAGGTGCCTTCGGCGATCCAGGACGCTGCCAAGGTGAGCCCCTTCTTCGCGCAGTTCGGAGAGGTCAAGAGGCATCAGCTGCCGGGACCCCGGGCAGCCGCAGATGCCGGCTCCGATGTCCCCGGCTTCCCTGCTCACCCCCTTCCCCTCCCGACTTGCCGGCAGGCAACGCCATGGTCACCTTCACTTCGCAGGCCGCCGCGAGCTTCGCCCTCAAGAGCTTCGAAGAGAAGCCCGATATCTTCACCCTCGAGGGCAAGCCGGATGCCGGAGCCGGTGGAAGGGCGGGGCTGGACGGCGTCTCTTCACAGGCTCGCCCCGTGAACAGGCAAGCCGGTGCGGATCGAGGAGCTGAAAACCTTCACCGAGCGCTACCCAGGCGGGGCTCCGGCCGGTGGCCATCGCGCGGGCTAGAGGCAGCCGGCACAGGAGCCTTCTCGGAAGCTTCTCGGAGCCTTCCTATAGGCCCGCGCGCGGGGAGGGCTGGCGGGCGAGGCGCGGAGGGGCGGGGGGAGGGACGGGGCAGCAAGGGGCGCGGGCGCGGCGACGGGAGCCGGCCGCCGCGCTCTCGATCCGAGGCGAGTGGCGACGGGGGCGGGAAGGCTGCGGCGGCGAAGTGAGCGCGCTTCGCCCGGCCAGCCTCTCCGATGCTCGGCCGGCTGCCTTGGCCGTTAAAGTGGGATTTAGCCACGTGCGATCCCGCTTTGGCGCGGGGGCTGGCGAGAGCGGCCCTCCAGCGCCCGATTGGCGATGCGCGTGTCGTGAACGAGGCGGACACGCGAGCGAGAGGCCTCGTCAATTCGCACACCGACATCGGTGTCGATATCAATTGCATAAGAGATGAAGGTAAACGCGCTGTGCCAGAGTCTGTGGGGCGAGGTAATATACTTTTGAGAGCGGTAAGGAAAATAACAATATATGTGGTCGATATCACGACGTCGCGGTTGGCACACACCGAATCGCACTCACTCACCGGCACCAACTTGATTCCCGGATCGGCGTCTCACGGCCGGGCCGCGGGACGGGGAGGGAGGGGGGTGGATCCGTAAATCCGTAAATCAGTAAATTTGTAACCAAAAGCCACCAGGGAGTCCCCCACCGCACCCAGCTACCAGGCAGGCAGAGACTCAGCACTCGCGACATGCTCAGAAGCCGGGGGCTGGCCTCTCCAATGCTCGCCCAGCGCTGTCTGCACGCGCAGCGCTCTCCGGGGTCCGGGCGGCCCACACGGTGGGAGGGTCGACGACCGTACGACTGTAACGCTACGTATATCTCTTAACAATCACTATGTTCGCGCTTGCGCTGCGCCTCTGCGAGTGCGTTTATCAACCCCTCACGCGTGCGCATAATCCCCTCCATCTTGTCGTACAGCCTTGACCTCTCCGCCTCTTCGGCATCAGCGCGCCTCGCCTCTGCCTCCGTCCATCGAAATCTGCAGCGCGTCGAGCTGCTCGCGCAGCTCGGCCTGCATCTTGGCCCGCATCTCGCCGATACGCCACTCACACTCAGCTCGAGCTGCATGATTTGCCTGGTCGGCCATCCGCTCAGCCGCTTTGATATCGCGTTTAGCAGCCTGCTGCGCTCTCCTCAGGTTGTCGCAGTCGGAGCGCCTCACCCTCACCACCACCGCCCTCGCCGCCGTCTCCCTCGCCACCACCGCCCTCGCCACCGCCTCCCTTGCCACCACCGCCCTCGCCGCCGTCTCCCTCGCCACCACCGCCCTCGCCACCGCCACCCTCACCACCGCCGCCCTCGCCACCGCCAGCCTCACCACCACCCCCCTCACCTCCCACACCCTCACCGCCCCCCCCACTCCCGCCGCCGCCCCGAGAGAAGGAGGAGGAGAAGAAGGAAGAGCAGGCAGCTTTTGACGCCGCGGCATCCCGTTCCTCCAAGGAATATCCGCCTCCCCCTCGTCCGCCTCCTCCGTCGCCACCTCCTCCATCGCCTCCCCCTCCCGAACCCCCAAAGTCTCCGTCAGCAGAAAAGAAGGCGCAGCAAGAGGAGCCGAGGCGCCGGGCAACGAACCTGGCCGACGACACCGCGGAGAGCGCGTTCGACTTCTCAAGGGTGCCCGCCTTGCTCGAGGCGCAGTACACCACGCTCGACCCGCTGGGCGCCATCCGACCGACGTCCATCAAGGTTGACGACATATGTTACGTATACCACTCGTGCTGGTGGTTGACGAAGCAGCAGGGGCTGCTTGCGCCGCCAAAGGTAATCTCGTTGAGCCCGCAACTCGAGCGGCAGAGGGCCTTCGACCTGCTCGACGCGCTCACGCGCTCGGGCGCCCTGCAGCTGGACGACGCGAGCCTGCACGTCATCGTCGGCGCAACGCACGTCTTCGCCGACAGCGTGATGGAGACTCTCGTAGCCGAGAGCATCAACCCAATCGAGAAGCTCGAGAGCTCCTCCCTCATCATTGCTTCCGTCGTCCACAACGTGCCGCCTCAGCAGCTGCTCGCCGACGATGAGCAGCTCCGTCGCGTCCAACAGTTCGCATCGCCGGTGCTGTCCAGCAAGGCGGAGCGGTCCACGCAGGAAGTGTGACGCGCGTGATTATCGTTTGGCATGCAAATCCGCAGGGGAGAACGGAGAAGGGAGACACTCGATTCGGACTGGAGACGATGATGTCCCGTCGCCGTGTCGGTGCTGAGCTGTTTGGTGATTGGTGTTGTGTGGAGCGCTTGTGCTCGCGTGTTGCACTGTGGCAATCCACTCACGAGACATCACACCGCGCGCCCGCTGCGCCGCCTCCGGGCGCGGTGTGCGGCGCCCGCCCCGAGCCCCCGACGCCACGCCCGGCCGCAGGGCCGGACCCCGGGTCGCTCACGCCTCACGGCCGCCGTTTATGGTTTTTTATATTAGTGCATGCAACTCAGCTCTGTGGGCGCTGCGAAACTGCGCTCATAGCGGGTAGCAAATGTGCACTGACGCTGTTAGAGGTCGCGTCCTCGCCTAGTCCAGCCCCTGGGGAGTGGCATCACAGACTGACACAGACGCGCGGCGGCAGCTTCGAGCTTTGCACATGCACATATGTAGCATGTGCATGTGCATGTGCATGTGTGCGTGTGCATGTGGCATGTGCATGTGCATGTCCATGTGTGCATGTGCATGTGCATGTGCATGTGCATGTATGTGCATGTCTCATGTGACAACACGCAGGCGCCAAGCCGCAACCGACCGCGCCGCACCGAGTGGCACACTGTGGTGTGTGGACCGAGGATGTACAGGGATGACCGATTCCAGCACATACACGGCCTGACCAAAAACCACCCAGCATGCCCGGCCTCTGGCCACGCCAACCACGCGAACTCCGAACAACGACACGCTGTATGTTATATGACATCCACGGCGAGATCGAGGTCAGCGAGAGCCTCCGCAATACCTCCTTCATCCAGAGGGGAGTGCTGCGGGTGCGTCGACGTAAAGTGGCCGCGCATGCCACGGCGAAGATCGGCGCGGCAGAGGAAGCAGAAGCTGCCGCGGCAGTGGTGGCAGCGGATATGGTTTGAGTTGTCCTCCTTGTGGTTGACGGCGCCACAGGTCGGGCAGCGCTTCCCACGCAGCGCGAGCTGGTGCTGGAGGCGCTCGAGGTTCTGGCCGCCACGCTGCTGGTTGAGCAGCTGGCGGGCGAGCCGATCCTCACGGCGCTGAGCTGCAGTCAGACGCAGCGGCCCAGCGCCACCACGCCGGGGAGCTTCCGTCGGAAAGACGACGCAGCCGCCGCTGCGAAAGTGATCGTACGGATTGGCGCTCCCGATGATCTGGCCGCAGCTCCAGCAAAAGTGGGCGGCGCAGAAGCGGCACTGCATGTGGTTGCACCCCTCGGTCCGCTCAATGGCAGCCCTGCAGCTCGGGCACTGCTTGGCCGTCCTCTTGATCACCTCGAGGGTTTTGAGCTCGGCTAGCTTCGCGTGCACAGCCGCGCGGGAGCTCGAATGGGAAGAGGAGGAGGCAGCCTGTCCCACCATCCGAGCCGCCCTTGCGGCGAGGTAGGCCGTCCTGGCCTCTAGGCTCGCGCACTCGCTCCCCGGGTGATACGGATCGTAGCACGCCGCACAGAAGTTGAAGTCGCACTCGGGGCAAATGCAAAGGTCCGAGTCGTCGACAGGCAGGCACGGCACTGCCTGCGGCGGCAGCACCAGCTCAGATTCGCCATGGGCGAATTTGCAGCGGCTGCCAGCCGCGCAAGCACCTGCCTCCCAGAACTTGCACAGGGTGCCCTTCAGCAGAGGTCGCCCCGAGTGCCTGTACTGGGCGGACGCGGGGTCGCATCGCGGGCAGTAGCACAGCCCAGGCAGCGCTGCAAGCAGCTGCTCCTTCCGCAAGCCTTCCCATTTGCACTGTGTCTCCGACGGCACCAGCTGCGCGATGAGCGCCGCTGGCAGCTCAGAACGGCACTCGGGCATGGGGCAGCGGATGCCGTCGATGGTAGCCGAGTCGACGGCTGTCTCAATCATCACGCGGAGGCACTGCCGGCATACAGCGTGCTCACAGCCGGCCGCCACGCCCGCGACGCACGCCATGCCAGGGACCTCATCCATGCAGATCGGGCACGTGTGCACCTCGAGTGCAAAGGCACGCTGCTCCTCCTCGAAGGCGTATTGGAGGATCGCCACGAGCGCCTCGTTCGGCGACTCGCACTCGGCCACCACCCGAACATCATCCAGGCTGCCGCCATTGCTGCCACTGCCGCCGCCGCAGCCGTCGATATTTTCTGCTGCGGGTGCACTCTTAACACCGTGTGGCCGAAGCGTGAGGCACGGCGCACCGCCTTCGAGATCGCTGCCGTCATAGCCATTGCCATCCAAGCCAAGAAGAGCCATCGCCTCGTGCTTCAGCCATTCCACCCACGAGAAGACCACGCCATTGCCTGCCATGTCTTCCCACAGCTTATCGAGTGCCTTCGCACACAAGCTGAGCTGTTCGACATCAAGCCACAGTGCAGAAAGAGTGAAGCGCGGCGGCGAACTGGAAGGGTAGTCGCGCGGTAGTACCAAAGCAAGATGGAGTGGCGGAAGGAAGCGCGCCGTCGCGACGAGAGAGCGCCCACTCTTCGAGCGCGTTGGCAGGACTGCCTGCACGCCGGCGGCTGCCTCGGTCTGAGCGTTCACCAGCTCACGAGGATCGCGCACGAAAGAGGTGAATCCCGCCACGGCCTTGCTGGACGCCTCCGAGACAGGTGGCTCGTGATCACCCAGCTCCACCTGGAGGCTCACTCGCGTTTCAAGAGCCACCTCAACATCCACGCTGAAGGCGGAAAGGGCTGCGCCGTCGTTGTCGGTAACGCTATCGCCGACTAGGACATTGTCGCCGTACACGGACTGCAGCACGAGCAGCTCGTTGGCCTGCTCCTCCTCGTCACTCGAGGACATGGTCGCGACTGGTCGCGACCGACATGGTCGCGACCGAGAAGCGAAAAAAAAACTTTTATATTGTGTGTAAGCCGTCGCCCACCCTTGGGCGCCTGCCTGTTGTCGTCTTTATCGAGGGGTCCCGTACCATGCGGAATCGACCCTATCAAGCCTCGTTGGCCGAGGCTTCGGCCAACGAGGCTTCGGCCAACGAAACACACACACAAAAAAAAATCCTCGCCCTCCGCCCGCCCTTGCCTCCGCCCAGCCCTCCGCTCTCCGCTCTCGCCCTCCGCCCTTGCCCTGGCTGGCCTGGGTGGCATCTCCTCATCATCACGCGCCAAGTGGGAGGGAAGTGGACGGGGCCCTGAGCCGACCTAGCCCTAAACGGAATGGGGCGCCCAACACGTGCCCGGATTACTGTGCCTCCCCCGGGTGCAGCCTTTCGGTTCGTGAAGGGTCGGTGCGTGTCGTGATCCCCTGGAACACCCGTACTCTCCCGCGCCATCTCCGTCGCCCTGTTCGGCTGCGGCCTTACCACCAAGATCGGGAGGCGGCCAGGGCTCATAGACTCGGTCGAGAGACCCCAGATTGGCATCCATGCCTCTCTGGACAGGGTGGCCCGCCACAACGACCCCTGGAATTGCGACTCGCCGCTTTCCTCCCGCTGTGATTCTGTGTGAGCTCTGTGTCTTGATTTGCCAACAATACCTACACTATCAAGTGCTCAAGTGCTCAAGTGCTCCAGGCGGAGTGTGCGTACGTCCCAGCATGGATTGGTCTATGCCCGTCCGCCACCGCCGGGGCCTCCAATCGCTGCAGCCTGTCCACCGCCGCCTCTGTTCATCTCTCTCGCGCGCCTCCTCCCGCCGCTACCTTGAGCACGAGAGCAGAGAGGCCACGCTCGGCGCGAGAGCGAGGGACGCCCAGGTCCGGCGCGCCGAGTCTGCCTTCCAGTCGGCCGTCTCGTACCTGCTGCCCAAAGACGCTGTCGCCGAGGCCGCTGTGCACGCGGAGCGGTCGGGGCAGGGCGGAGGCCACGCCGCCTTTGGCGACGAGGCTGGCTCACACGTCGAGCGTGCAATCAACAGGGCGGTGCGCGAGGGCCTCTTTGATGACCTGGAAAATGCGGGCAAGCCGTTGCGGCAGCAATCGGAGAACGTCTTCGAGGTGCTTGCTGGCGAGACTACCGCCAATCGGATCCTCAAGCAGGCCGGCTGCGCCCCCGCTTGGATCGAGCTGAGGAAGGAGATTCGGCACGGCCTCGCGGCCTCGCGCAGGCAGCTCGCGATTGCCTACATCCAAGTGGTGGACGAGCATTATGACGAATCCGCCGGCGCAACACCGGCGTTTGCCGAGGCGGCAGGGAGGAGGGCGGCGCGGCGGGTGGCGGCGGCGAGGGGCGCGGCGGCAGCGGCTGAGGCGGCAGAGGTGGCGCGGCGGGCAAAGGCGCGTCTGAGGCGGGTGCAAGCCGAGTCGCGTGGCTCCTCGCGGCTCGACGTGGCGGCGGCTCGTCGGGCGGCGGCTGCGGCGAGAGAGGTTGAGGTTCGCAGCGCCCGCGCGGCTGCCACCGCGGTACGCAGCGCCGCAGCGGACGCCGCCGCGGCGACAAAAGCTGCCGGTGCCGAGGGGCCAGAAGAGGGCGAGTGGGATGAGTGGGATGACGTGTTGTGTCATCGATGGGAGGTGGCGCTGGCCGAGTTTGAGGAGCGGTGCGCCGAGCTCAACGCACGGATCGACGACTTCAACCTCGTCGTGCCCGGGCTGTGGCAGCAACTGCCGCGGGTGACCCTCGCGCCCGCCGTCATCCGCGCCATCGACGAGGCGGAGGCGTTGCTGGCGGCGCGCCGAGCCGGGTCCTGGAGCTTGCCCGCCTCTGCCCGCCGCAACAAGGGCGGCGCTGGCGCGTTGGCCTCGGCGCGCTCCCTCACCGCGTTTGGTGCGAGTTTTGCCCTTTCAGACGTGGAGATGCCCTCCCTCGCCAGCGCTCTTGGAGCAATCTTTGCGAGGCCGGGCAGGTGATTGATGGGTGACTGAAATGGACTTCTCATGGCCGCCAGCGGCCGCTAGCGCAGGTAGCCGGGGTGTGCTGTCTCCTCCGCTCCCCGGCCGGCGCGATCCCGTCGCTCCACTAGACAGGCGTGAGTGGTGTGCACGCTCTCCCAAGATCGAATTTACCCAAGGCCAAGCGAGCTTGTGCGTGTAAAATTCTTGCAAAGCGGACTTTTTTGTGATTCGCGCGATTCTCGCTACGCTCCGACCGCACATGCACAGCGGTGTTATATATCATATATATCGTACACAAAGAAGTAAGAGAACGACCGCGGTGAAAACCTGCGCGGCCCCCGGCAACGGCGCTCGTGGCCTGCGTGTGACTTTTTGTTTTTTTGTGATTTGTCTGAGCCCTGGCTGTCAGGCTGTCAGGTGCTGTCAGGTGATCTGTCGGGCTGTCGGGCACTGTCAGGCACTGTCAGGTGCCTCTGTCAGACTAGCTGTCAGGTGCTGTCAGTGCTGTCAGGTGCTGTCGGGTGCGTGTCTGACACACAGGCGAGGTGATCTGTAGCTGTCGGGTGCTGTCGGAGCTGTCGGGTGTTGCTGTCAGACGCTGTCGGAGCTGTCAGAGCTGTCAGGCTGCTGCTGCTGTTAGACGTTGGGCTGTTGCTGTCAGGTGCTGTCAGGTGGTGCTGTCGGGGTGCTGTCAGGCTCTGACACACACCAGCCACACTTATGACACTATCAAGAGGAGACCAGCAGGACTCTACTACACATACTCTCAGCCTCTCCTCCTACACGGCGCGTGATCACGCCGGCGGCGGCGGCCGCCTTGGGAGCGCAGATGGCGGCGCAGAGGCACAGGCGGCGGCGGCGGCACAGACGGCGGCGGCCATCCCCACCCAGACGCCGTAGGCATATGACTGTAGGGCCCCAGAAGGCTAGCTGGTAGCTTCATTTGTAGTAGCACAGCCGCCGGTGCTGGAGAGGGGTCCGCAGAGGTGGGGCGGGAGGGTTGAAAGAGAGACCCATGACCATCCCATGACTACATGGACATGGACCACACTCACATGTCTTTGCATGTAATTTTGTTATACCCTCATGGGGCACAAGAAAGAGGCTCTACGGGGTCTGTGTACGGTCTGTGCTGCTGTCAGGCTGTCAGCGCTGCTGTCACGTGTCAGGCCACTGTGTGCTGTCGTCGGGCTGTCAGGCAGCTGTCAGGCTGTCACGTTAGGGCCTGACAGCGACGGGTCACCTCGCCTGTCAGGCTCTGCTGTCAGGCTGTCAGATACGTGCTGTCAGACTGTCAGAGAAAGTGCTGTCAGCGCTGTCAGGCTGTCGGGCACTGTCAGGCGCTGTCCGGGGTTTGCTGTCAGTCTGTCAGACCAGCGGGGCTCAGTGTGATTTGTCTCGTGTGAGCTGTGAGATATTACATGTTAACTAAAATAAACCCCCCGGTGAGAGATACACATTGGAAGAGGTCCGTGCGACCCGCCACGGTCGTAGTCTACGCCCAATGCTTTGAGCGGGCGAACGAGTCAACAACCCGATTCCGCCAGAGCCCAGACCCGACCGGCTGGCCGGCTGCGGCAGCGCGGCCTGTGAGGTTGTCAGCTGGCGCCGGCGCAATCCGGGGGCTGCTCGAAAAAGTGGCGGTGCAGCTCCTGCACCGCCTCGACGGCGCGCTCCTCGGGCACCACGATCGAGATGTTGACCTTGGACGCGCCCTGCGAGATCATCTGCACCGGGATGCCGAGCCGGTCCATCGCCGCGCAGACGGCGGAGACGACGGCGGACGAGCAGCCGACGTTCGCGATGAGGGTGACGATGGAGTGGCCGCCCGAGACGCGCACGTTGGCCACTTGCTCGAGGTCCGCCATCAGCCCGACGAGCGCCTCGGACCGCTCGACGCCTGCAGGAAGGCTCCGAGAGAGCTCCGAGAGAGCTCCGAGAGTCCTCGCTCCTCGGACCGCTCGGCGCCGGGCGACTGCTCGAGCGCGCTGATGGAGCGCCGCTCGAGGAGCTGGTTCTTGTTGAGGGTGAGCGAGACAGAGACCTCACTCGAGGCGATGACGTCGATCGAGATGCGCCAGCGGTCAAACGCGGCGAACACACGCGCGAGGAAGCCGTACGCGCCTGCGGAGAGGCGGCGAGAAGGCTCCGGGAAAGGCTCCGAGAAGGCTCGGGGAAAGGCGGGGAAAGAGCGCGCGAGGAAGCGCGGCGCGCGCCGAGCATGCGAGTCGACTCGATGTCGACCAGCTGAACACCTGCGAAGCACGTCGAGGACCCGTCCGGGAAGTGTCCAGGCCAAGTTGACCTTGCTCCTCCCCGCGGAGCCGCGCGCCGTTCTTCGAGGTGATGGCCGAGACAAGGCGCGTCTCGGAGCAAGCCGACCCGTCGGCGCTGATCAGCGTCCCCTCCGCCGCCGGGTTGTACGAGTTTTTGACCTAGAGGCCGTGCCAAGGGCGCGTCCAGCGACCTGCCCTCCCGCCGGCCCGCAGAGCACCAGAGAGCTTGCTGCCCGGAACGGCACGCCGGCGCGGCGACACGGCTGCATCGCGAGCGGGTGCAGCACCTGTGCTCCGAAGTAGGCGAGCTCGGCCGCCTCGTCAAACGTGACTCGTGCGACGGGCGCCGCCGCAGGGCAGATGCGCGGGTCCGCCTGACAGTGGACGTGCCGTGGACGTGTCATGCACGCGTGCACGCTGCCGCCCGCAGTCGGCGCGGGTGTCTGCCGTCAGGATGCCGTCCACGTCCTTCCACACCTGAACCTCGTCGAAGCCGGCGGCGGCGCCGAGGAGCGAGGCGGTCAGGTCGGACCTGGTTGTAGCGGCGGCTGTGACGAGGTGCTCGCGAGGCGCGGGGCGGCGAGGGGGCCAGGCCCTCCCGAGGGCTCTATACCGGCCATGTCTCAGATATCTCGGACCCTCCTCTCCCGAGAGTCGTGACCCGTCCCTGCAGGTCCTTGCCTATGGAGGCGAAGTCCGCACGAGGGCTGTTCGGGACGTGACCCAGTGGCCCGCGAGCCGCCGGCCCCGAGGTTTGCCGATGAAGCCGGTGACGACTGGGACTGTCCCCTCCTCCATCACCGGCAGGAGGCTCGCCGCGATACCCTCCCACGACTGGTCGAGCGGAGTCGCCTCGCCAAACTCGTCGGTCGTCACGACGCCCACGTCCCACGCCTCGAGCTGCTTGGCTCGCACGCCCTGCCGCCGCAGCGTCGCTGCGACGACTCGACCACTCAACCGTTCGCCATACGAGACTACCAGGTCGCGCGTGCGCGGCGAGAGCTCACCCAGCAGCGCGACGCCCTCCAACGTCCGTTCGCACTTGTCGAGGAGCTCCACGACCTCGCTCGCATCGGTGCCGGAGATGCTGAGTGCGTCGAGCGTCTCGACGTGGAGCGCACGGACGGTCGAGAGGTCGACCGTGCCCTCGTCGATCGCACGGTCCGCGGCGGCGAGAAGCCCGTTGGTCGTCTTCCCCATGGCGGAGCATACGAGGCAAGGCTGCACGCTGTGCTCGACCATCTGCGCCCGGACCAGAGACGCAACCTCCGCGATCCGCTCGGCGTCCCGCACGCTCGACCCGCCAAACTTCATCACCACTCGCGGTGGCGGGACGAGCGCCCCGCGAGCGCGGGCGAGGAGGAGGAGGAGGAGCACCGTCCGAGACATCGTGGGGTTTTAGGTATATTGTTGGCAAATCAACATCGTGGGGTTTGGTGCACGAAGTGCGAGAAGCGCGGCAGTCATCAACCGAGGACGCAGTAGCTCTTTGTGTTGCGATGCTTCCTGGCGAGGGAGTGTTGGGCTTTCCGGCCCCCACTCGGCTCTTGAGGCATTTATCGGCATCTTAATATGCCGTAGGGACATACAGCAAGGAGTAGTGTCCACGCGCGCACACGCCCGAGTGCCAATTTGGCTACGGGTTAGGGTTGCGTTGTCCTAACGCCTCCGTCCGTCCTGGACGGGCGTTGGCGCGTGCATATCCCCCACGGCTAGCTAGCAACACTACTGCTAATGCTGGCCTCGTCCCCTCAAGTTGAGCAGCTTGCCTTGGCTTCGACTGCTCAGACATTGGAGGAGATAAGGGGATGGTGGTGGGTAGAAGAATGCGAGAAGAGCTGAGCCAGAAGCTGTCGCGCGAGTCCAGGTCCGATCCATCCAGTCGGTCCGTCCTGTACTCGTCCAGTCGATCTGACGTTTGGCTACACTAGTAGAGCCGTGGGCTCATTTCACGTAGCTCTTTGTGTTGCGATGCTTCCTGGCGAGGGAGTGTTGGGCTTTCCGGCCCCCACTCGGCTCTTGAGGCATTTATCGGCATCTTAATATGCCGTAGGGACATACAGCAAGGAGTAGTGTCCACGCGCGCACACGCCCGAGTGCCAATTTGGCTACGGGTTAGGGTTGCGTTGTCCTAACGCCTCCGTCCGTCCTGGACGGGCGTTGGCGCGTGCATATCCCTTCCGGTGCTTGCGTGACGCCTCGCGACTCCCGCGCTCCGGCATCCTTGCATGTCCCTACTGGGTGGGTGGGTCGTGGCCCGCGCGCCTTCGCGCGGGATTATTGCGACTCGCTCCCTCGAGCGAGCGCCCCCCTTTTTCCATTACGGGCCTGTCGCGCTCCGCGCACCAGTACAGGCCCATATTCCACGCCCCTCGGCGTCACGCCATCACATGGCATCAATAGTAGATAGCTCTCCTCGAGCTACACTACCTCGTGCTCCGCACGAAATCATGACGAGTCCCCCCTCAGTCAGTCCCCAACCCCCGGGCACGGCACACAGCTTCCGGGCTGCGGCTCACTGTGTCGCACCTTAACACATTCGGCGCCTGAGCGCGTACTCGTGCGGTGCTGACACATCGGTCCTGCTTTCCGAAAGAGGCAGCCGTGCTGCTTTCCGAAAGAGGCAGCCACGCTGCTTTCCGAAAGAGGCCGCTGCGCTGCTTTCCGAAAGAGGCAGCCACGCTGCTTTCCGAAAGAGGCAGCTGCGCTGCTTTCCGAAAGGGGCAGCAACGCTGCTTTCCGAAAGAGGCAGCTGCGCTGCTTTCCGAAAGAGGCAGCAACGCTGCTTTCCGAAAGAGGCAGCTGCGCTGCTTTCCGAAAGAGGCCGCGCTGAGGTAGGCACCATGCCAACCTCCGATCCTAGTGTGACGCTGGTGTCGTACCAGCGCCGCACTGAGGCAGGCGCCGTGCCCTACCCCTGGTCCTAGTGTGACGCTGGCTCGTCATCGGGCTCCTCCGCCCCGTCGTCCAGCTCGAGCGCTCGATCCGCTTTCGCCGCCTCCGACCTCAGCGCGGTCACGGCCTCGCTCACCCTCCGGACGTCGTTGTCATCGTCGATGCTCGGCAGCGCCTCCGGGCTAGGCAGCGCTCCGATGAAGGCGTGCGCGCGTCCGACGAGCTCCATGGCCTCGTCTACCGCCCGCGCCGCCGCCGCGCTCGCCTCGCCCACTCTCGACCCCGCCCCGCCGGTTGCGGTCGCCGCCAAGAGCGTGTGCGAGCGCACCGTCTCGAAATTCGCATCGACCGCGGCGTCGAGCAGCGAGATCTGAACTCGCTCGCCGATGCGCGCGTACAGCCGCCTCGCCTCCTCCGACGACCAGCGCAGCAGAGCCATGATCTGCTCCGGCGTTGCGCCCGCCGCCAGCAGAGCGCACGCGAGCCATACGCGGAACGCGCCCGGCTTGGCGCCCAGCCTGTCGGTTTCTGTTGCGGTCCCGGCGCCCCCAACCGCGCCCGCGGGAAGGTGCATCGCCGCGTTGCGGGCCACGGCATGGAGCATGCACACCACTTCGTCGCATCGCTCGGACATGGACTTTGCCGTGTACCGACCTCCCTCGAGCGTGCCGCGCAAGTGCTTCATCTTGTGCTCCAACTCCTTCAGCGATGCGGGCCCAAGATGGTCTCCGTTCTTGAGCACTCCGACGCGCATGGCCACTGTCGACACCGACGAGTACACGCGCCCGACGTCGGCCGGGAGCGACGAGCCGTCCGCCGCCGAGCCCACCATAGCCCGGACCGCGTCGAAGCATGCAAGCGCAGCGTGGAAGTTTTCCTTTAGCAGCGGGGCAAGCTCAGCTTCCCCCACCGGCCGATCCCCGCTCCACACCCACGCCATGCGCCGAAGGTTGATCCGCGCGGCCGGACCGCCCGCCGTCTTGGTAAGATTCATTAGGACCGGCATGACGGGATCCACCGTCAGCATGCCCTTGAAGGCGAGTGCAACCTCCTCGGAATCGAGGTCCTCGCCCATCTTGGACTCTGCGGCACTGCGGATGGCCCGCACCGCCTTCATGAACGACTTTGCATCCCGCGAGGAGACTGTCACGTGGCTTCCCACCGCTGTCGCCGCCCGCGCGTAGAATGCGAGTCGCCCGTCAGATCCCGCGAGATCTCCCAGCTTGAGCTCCTTCAAAAACGCCCGATCCTGCGCAGCCTTGTTCTTTGCGGCTGCAGCAGCCCTCTGGGCAGCGTTTCCCTCCTCCGCGTAGTGCACCTCCGGCTGCACTGGCACTAGGTCTGCCAGGCGCAGGTGCATCTTTTGCTTGATGTCCTCACTCGCTGCCTCCAGCCTCTTCATGATCTCCTCGTATGCCTTGGTCCATGCGGCTTTGCCCATGTCTGCAATCAGCGTTGACATGGCTTCAGCCCAACGGGACCATGCGTCCTCGTCGATGTACACCGCGCCGTAACCCGATTCCCACGCGTCCGGCGCGAGGGTGACGAACGGCATGACCACCTCCGCGAGAACCGGCCACTCCAGTTCCTTGATCCCATCCACCAGCGAGACACCGGCGATGGATCCCAGGAACGCCTGGCGCTGTGCCTCGCCTTCGAGGAGCAGGTTGTGCGCGCCGCGTGCCGCGAAGCGCTCATTGGCGTCGCCCTCGGCCTGAAGATACGTGATCGTTTTGGTTGCCATAGAAGAATGCGAGAAGAGCTGAGCCAGAAGCTGTCGCGCGAGTCCAGGTCCGATCCATCCAGTCGGTCCGTCCTGTACTCGTCCAGTCGATCTGACGTTTGGCTACACTAGTAGAGCCGTGGGCTCATTTCACTTTTCCCGAACTACAACTAGTGGGGGACCTGCGGCGGTACCCGCCTCTGTTGTTCGGGCAGTGAGAGACGCAGGATCCAAAGTGGGGCAATTTGCCTTTTGGTTTTTGCCAAAGTAGGGCTCCGTGCCTAAGGAAGATAGATAGGGTGTGACCTGCGGCAGCCAGTCGGAGGCCGCGATGGATGGCCCAGGGCCGGCGGCGGTGAAGGCGTCCGTCGATGAAGGGATGTCGTCGAGGGAGCCATCGTCCTACGCGGCTGGTGCACCGGTCCAGTTGTCGGAGTTCGAGATCGCCGTCGACTTGGAGAGCCCGTTGACGAACTCACGGAATGTGAGCGACTTGGTGCACGCTGGGTCGAGCATCATGACTCGCACCTCATCCTGGGCGAGGAACTCGCCCAGGGACCAGCTGTTGGCGTCGCCGTTTTGATCGAGCTGCATCCACTGCATGGTTTCGTAGTCAAGCGTAAACGCCCAGGAGTTGGTGCCTGGGTGACTTGCTGATGAGAGCGCCTTCCAGGCGGGTAGTCGTGCCCCTCACCTACGGTCATACGGCGGCGTCAGAGGGGGGGAAGGGGCGCGAAGCGTGAACATGGAGGCAAGCAGGTGGTGGCTGCACCTGGCCAAAGCCGGCGACCTCGAAGTTGTCGTAGCTTGTGCGGATATCGCTGAGCGTGAGAGGGACCGGATCGGCAGCAGCATGGGCGGCCGCGTCAGCGGCCGGAGAGGCCGGAGAGCCATCCGACGGAGGCCGGTCGTGCATCGGCGCGTCAGCCGCAGGGGCCGGGGGGGCGGCGGCATCCATCGCTGCGGGTCGCTGCGGGCCGACGATTGTGGACTGATCGATCGTGGCGGGCGGATTTCGGCTGGGACGTTCTACGGTTAAACCAAGAGCGTCGGCGCGGACACGAGAGACTTATAAGGGTAGATTTTCTTGTTTTTAGGGTAGATTTTCTAATTTTCTAAATTTCTAAAGAGGGAATCCCACGAAGAAGAAATCGATTGCGGCCTGTCCCCTAGTCTAAGCCTCCACTGAACAGCCGTGATGATCAGGCCCTCGCTCTTGCGCGGCGCCGCCGCCGAGCCGTGTCGCCCGTGCCTGCGGAGACTGCTGCACGCGGGCGCGGCTTGGCGGCAGCGCCAGCAGCGCGACCCTTACGTGCGCGAGGCGGCGCGGCTCGGCTACCGCTCACGCGCGGCCTTCAAGCTGCTCGAGATGGACGCCAAGAAGCGGCTGCTGCGAGAGGGCGGCGTGGCGCTGGACCTCGGCGCGGCGCCGGGCTCGTGGACGCAGGTGGTGCTGCGGCATCGCATGGCGGTCGTGGCACTCGACGAGCTGCCGATGGAGCCGCTCGAGGGCTGCACGGTCGTGCGCGGCTCGGTCGGGTGCTCCGCGGCGCAGGCTGCTGTGCTCGGCCGGCTCGGAGGCTTGCCCGTCGACCTCGTCCTCTCCGACATCTCGCCAGCGCGCTCGGGCCTTCTGTTTTGCGACCACGCGAGGCTAGTCTCGATCCTGGTCGACGTGCTGGCGCTCGCGCGCCGCGTGCTGCGGCCGGGCGGCGCCGTGCTCGCCAAGGCGCTGCAGGGGGCGGACCACCACGCGCTGGTCAAGGCGGCGCGGCGCTTCGGCAAGGTGTCGACGCTCAAGCCCAAGGCCTCGCGCCGCGAGTCGGCCGAGGTCTACCTGTGCGTTCGCGATTTTGACCCCGGGCGGTTCGACGAGGCGCTGGACGACTTGAGAGACCTCGCCGCGTGAGATGTGAGTCGCTTTGGATGGCACCGCAAGTTGCATTTCACTTTTGGCCCTCTCGCAGTCAGGGTTCGGGCTCCTTGCCGTCTAGGGGGTCTGTATGTCCCGCCTATAGGTAGGTAGGTAGGTAGGTAGGTCGTAGGTGTAGGTTGTGCATGGAGTCAGAGAGAGAGAGATTTTTAGCAATACCAAACAACTCTAACACTCACACGTCATTTGGGGCCTGGAGCCCTGTTCACGCGCGCGCGAGACGTGCAGACTGTTTGTTTTGTTGTGCATGGATGAGAGAGAGACACATGACTACATGGACCTGGACATGGGAGACATGGACATGGACAGGATGGACATGGACATGGACATGGACATGGACCACAGTCACATGTGCATGTACGTGTGACTGTCTTTGCATGCAATGGTTTTGTTATACCCTCATGGGGCACAAGAAAGAGGCTCCACGTCTGTGTTACGGTCTGTGCTGCTGTCGGGCTGTGAGTCAGAGCGCTGCTGAGCGTGCTGTGTCAGGCCACTGTGATCTGTGTGCTGTCGGGCTGTCGGGCAGCTGCCAGGCTGTCACGTTAGGGCGTGACAGCGACGGAGCACCTCGCCTGTCAGACTCTGCTGTCAGGCTGTCAGATACGTGCTGTCAGGCTGTCGGAGAAAGTGCTGTCAGCGCTGTCAGGCTGTCGGGCACTGTCAGGCGCTGTCCAGGGCGCAGGGGTTGCTGTCAGGCTGTCAGACCAGGGCTCAGCGATACCAGTGCGCAGTCGTCCGCAGTGTGCACGATGCACGTCCCACGTCGTGATGAGCGTTGAGGCTCATGAGTCATGTTGAGGGCTTCAAGAGACACACACAGTTACTCGATTCACTATTCCTCTCTCTCTCTCTCTCACACATTGGCAATCTCTCTCATAAACGCACAACCCCGGGCCCGAAATCGCAGAGAGACAGTCACGCAACAGCTGTCCGACCCTCCACTCACATTCACCCCTTAGCGATCTCACATGATAGGTAGATGGGGCCCCGTCCGGATGCCCCGTGACGGCTGCAGATAGGTAGGCGAAGGTGAGTGAGTATTCTTGATACGAAACCACGACGACACACACCAGTCGACTCGTATCGGTTGCCTCCATGAACGGCGGAGCTATTCTCGCGCCCACACACACACACACAGAGAGAGAGAGAGAATTCTTGATACGAAACCACGACGACACACACCAGTCGACTCGCATCGGTTGCCTCCATGAACGGCGGAGCTATTCTCGCGCCCACACCACACCTGGCTCCAACGTGGACACGCCCATAGCTGGGGACACTACTAGGTCACGCATGGCATCACAGAAGTTTTATCTCTGGGCCCCGAAAGGCATCTCTAGCAGTGTCGTTACACATGCCCCCTCCCCTCCTGGGCGCATGCGCCTCACGTCTCGCCAGAGCATAAGCCCTTGGCGTGTGGCGAGACGAGTTTTTCGCCATCGCAGCGAGCAGCAAGCCGCCCGCCGCAAACAGCCGGAGGCATCGCCACGGCACTGGCTGCGCCGCGGTCCCGCACCCGTCGACGCAGCTCCCCCCGCGGAAGACCGCGCGTAGCAACGTCTTGACGATCGAGATGAGCGTGCCTGAAGCTCGCCCACCTACTGCCCCTGAGAGTTGGTTATTGAGTGGGATCAGCTCCCCCCCTTGGGATCGAAGCCGCCACAACCTCACACCCAACATCCCAGGCGGGATCAGAAGGGGACTCCACACACCGGACACCGCCCGGGCACAGCCCCCCTACCCGTCGGATCGCACAGAGGGCCCCCTCGGAGCAGCCCACACACAATCACGCATCGGCAGATTGAGTGCCTGAGTCAGGCAGACAGCACAGACAAGAGGAGAGAGAGGAGAGAGAGAGAGAGAGAGAGGAGAGAGGAGAGGGTGAGGGTGTGAACACACGTGAGGAGTGGGGGAGGGTGTCTGTGGTGGGTTGTAGTCATACTACGTGGTTACAACCACGCGCCCCTCAGGAGCTTAAGGTAGAGCTGAGCGTCCAAGACGCCTCGGTCCCTCCCACCGGCGTGAAGACCATCCGGATCTAGTGCGTCCTCCGGACGGGCTGGTCCCCGCGATGGCCCACGGTCCTCCGTCGCCTGGTTGAACCCCCTTCTCTCTCTCTCTCTCTCTCTCTCTCTCTCTCTCTCTCTCTCTCTCTCTCTCTCTCACACACACACACAATACTCACACCCACGACCACGTGCTGGGAGTTCAAGTGCTACACTCCGTTCCTCCCCTCCGGCGCAAAGGGCAACGGCTCTGCTCGCTGCGGAGGCGCCGCCTCCCGTGCCGACGGGCACTTCATCGCGCTTGGCAACACTGAGGAGCACCTCTCCGTCGTCGTTCTCGGCCACCCCCAACGGGGTGACCCGGACACGGAGGAGCAGTTGGACCGCGTCAGCGGCGACGGATGGGTGGCAGCGAAGGACGGCGATTATGCCGACGCCCTCGCCAAGGGCCACACGGTCATCCTCCTCGTGACCGAGTCGACCGGAGCATTCTCCGCCGACCTCGATCGCGTCCTCCGCCAGCTTGCGAGGACCGCACGCGCTAGTGGGTCCATTGACCACACGCCGTATGGCACCTCTCGCGCGTCCACCCGCTCACACTACACCTTCCACTCCGCCGCCATCTCCGCCGCCATCGTCACCGCCGACGCCCTCACCATCCAGAACTCGGCCGCCGCCCTCGGCTTCGAGCTCACCCTCGACCCTCGCGATCTCGCCCGGCGCTCGACGTCGGGTCCTCGGCCGCCATTGCGGTCGGCGCCACCACCTCCTCCCGCCCCCCCCGCAGCCACTGCCGCGCGGCCGCCAATGCGACCGACCCCACCCTCCTTCCCCGACCCCGCCCTAAACGCCCCCGACAGCGAAGCCCGCGCCGCGCGCGGCACCCCCACCGACTCTGCCTCCGACCCCAGGGCCTAGGCGGCCCGCCATGAAATCTAGCCGTGTGTGCTGGCGTCCGGGTCCCAGCGGGTTTTCACGTAACAAGTACACACACACACGCGGATCTCCTCGCGGGTAAGAGTCCCGAACCCACAGGCGAAGCGTGGCCGGTCGATCTCGCCTCCCGCCCCTCTTGCATCCGCCGCCCACACATGCTCACGGCTCGCTCCGCGTCGCGCGGCCTCGTCCTTGTCACGCTTCTGGCGTCGACACGGGCACAGACCCGCCGGTACTCTGGCAGAGGCGGCGGCGGCGGCGGCGGCGCTCCCTATCGCCGCCGTGCTGCGGGTGGCCCAACGCGGCCGGCGACGCCCCGCAGCCGCGACGATCGCGGCGGGCGTGCGGTGTCGTACCGCCGCGAGGCGGCGGCCGGCTACGACGAGTGGGCCGAGGTGGACGACGGCGCCGCAGTCGTCGGCGACGGCGGCGAGTATGATGGCGGCGAGTACCTCTATGGCGTTTCGTCGGTGCTGTGCGCTCTGCAGACGGGCCGTCGCAGCGCCACGCGACTGTTGCTGCAGGACTCGATGGTGCTGGCCAAGCGCAAGGACGCCGCCCTCGTCCGCACCGCCGAGCGGCTCGCGGCGGAGGGCGGCCTCCCGGTGAGCCGCGTCGACAAGCACTCGCTCAACCTGCTGACGAGGGACCGGCCGCACCAGGGAGTGGTGCTGCAGGCGGAGGCGCTGGGCTTCGAGCCGATGCCGCTGCTGCCGCCGCCGCCCTCCGAGGGGGCTCGCGCCGTCTGGCTCGCCCTCGACGAAGTGAGCGACCCGCAGAACCTCGGCTCGCTCCTCCGGTCCGCCCTCTTCCTCGGCGCGGCCGGAGTGCTCGTCTCGGAGAAGAACTCGGCGCCGCTCACGCCGGCGGTCTCGCGCGCGTCGGCCGGCGCGATGGAGCTGCTGCGCGTCCACTCGAGCCGCAACCTCGTCCGCACCCTCGCCGCCGCGCGCGAGGCTGGCTGGCTGGTCGCCGGAGCCGCGCTCGAGGAGTCGACGCTGCCGTCGCAGCTGGACAGGGAGAGGCACACGGTGCTGGTGCTCGGCTCGGAGGGGCGCGGCCTGCGCACGAGCGTGCTCCGCGAGTGCGACGCCGTCGTGCGCGTGCCGCGCGGCGAGGCGACGGCCGCGGCGGCGGTGCCGGCCGAGCAGCTGGCGCTGGTCGACTCGCTCAACGTCGGCGTGGCGGGGGGCGTGCTGCTGCACGAGCTGCTGCACGGGGGTGGCGGCTGATCGGGGCGAGGCGGGGCGCGTGTCGGCGGCGGCGGCTTTTGTTGCGGCCGCGGGCCTGTTTGCGCACTGCACTACACCCGGCACTGCCACAGCTGTTCGCACACGCCACACCACCTAGCACACCAACCCGCGACCAACCACACTCAGGCTCTGTCAACGCGGCTCACGCGGGTTTCAGAGTGGAACGCCATTTCGCAACAGCGACAAAAAGAAACACATGTTTCTGTCAGGAGGGGTCAAGGACGGTCTTGTGGGAAGTGGGGGGCTGCGGGCGCCGCAGGATTCACCCCCACAGAGAGGGTCCCAGGGATTCCTCTCTCAACTCTCGTATAGGACAGGTTGCACCCGGCAACGGTTGCGGGTTGGGTAGTAGGAGTAGAGGGTTGCCCAAACCTTAGACCTGCTCGCAGGCGAGCGCTGAACTAAGCCCCCGGAAGGAGACGGGCTCTCAAACTACAGGTGGGTGCCGCGCACGGTCGATGACACTCGCAGTTGCAGCGTGGGATGCTCCTGCGGCTCAGCGATGATGTGCCCCCAATCGACGTGTGCGGATGGATTCGGGGGCGGCCGAGGGTTAGTGCGCAAGTGCTCCAACCGCTGCTCGGTGGCGCGCAGGTGCACGCCGAGATTTTCGATGGAGGCCGCGGTGATGCCTTGCTGCCGCCGCCCGTCGGCGTCGAGCTCCTCCCACGCCCCCAGCCGTGCGCGCTCCTGCTCGAGGAATGCCTGAAGGTGCGCCGGCTCGTCGGCCTCCTCGTGCACGTCGCGGTGGTGATCGTCCATCTGTGCGACACTGACCGGCTGTGCGTCGGCGGCAGCAGCCACCCAGCCGAGCGCCATGCCCCACGCAAAGACATGGCCGTCGCCGTCCACCGCAAGCGCGTGCGCACCGCAGCTGCCCGTGCCAGGGGCACCTGGAAGCCAGAGGCCGCGGCCAGCGGCGACGACGTGGATAGAGTGGGCCGTCAGCGAATCGAACTGCGTTGGCTGAGAAGGCGGAGGGTGAGGGCCGGGTGCAGCAGCCGTGCCAAAGGTGTACACGGAGCCGTCTACCGTTGCCACCAGGCTCTGGCCGAGTCCGTGGCCTTCCGGTCCGCCTGCTGAGATGCTGATGACCCTCCGGCCGTCGAGAGAGCCACCGATGCGCCGCGCGATCGCGAAGTCACGCGGCGCGAAGCCGTAGCTCAGGCCAGGGTCGTCGTTGGGTGTGGCACCCAAGCCGAGGCGACCGACTCCCCACAGCAAGCTGCCATCCGCGCCCATCGGGCAGGTGACCCCAAACGACCAGCAGGTGCCGTCTGCGCAGAGCACGAGCGAGTGGTCCTGCCCCGCGGAACAAGCCGAGGCCACCTGCTGTCCGCTGAGGCCCTGCACAAGACCCACGCCGCTCAGCTCCTCGTAGCGCTGTGGCGACGGAATGCCGTCCTCGTACACGTCTTCCTCGATGAAGCCACGCCCAAGGCGGGCGTCCGGGTAGCCAAACGACCACAGGTCGCCATCGGCGCCGATGACGAGGCTATGCTTCTGGCCCGCAGAGACGCCCCGCCCGCGAACTCCCGCGGCCACAAGAGCCTCGATGCGCTTTGGGAGGGCCTGCCGCTCGCACGTCGCACCGTGACCAAGCCATGGGGCTCCCTGGCGGCGCTGCCAGCCGTGCAGGAGGACGCCACCGCACGAGTGCACCTCTCCGTTGAGGAGCAGGATCAGGCTCGAGGTGCCGCCAGCCGCAACGGCGGTGGCACGCACGTCAGCAAGCGCTTCGATGCGGCGTGGCGTGTACACCGCTTGGTGGGGCGCGGTCTCACCAGGGGCGAACGCACCCATTCCGTGCCTGCCCTGCAGTGGGCTCAGCCACGAGCAGAGGAAGCGAGCGAGAGTGGCGTCCGCCAGTTCGCCCGCCAGCATCTCAAGCCGCTCCTCATAGGACAGGTGCGCCTCTGCAATGCGGGCCTTCAGCTCGTTCGAGCATCTCGCTTCGTACAGGGCATGCGCCGCTCCTTCGTCGAGTGAGCCGTGGCCGAGCTGGCCGTGCAAGTCGCTGCCGCAAGAAAAGACCTCGCCCGATTCCGCCAACGCGAGCGTGTGCCCCTCTCCCACGCTCACGCTCACGAACCGTACCGTGCAACCGGGCACAAGCGTCGGGCCGGGCATGATGGCCACGTTATTACCCTGACCGAGGGCACCGGGGGACCTGCGCTCGCGGCCCATGATCACGTCGTCGCCCACCTCCACGCCGCAGGTCAACAACCTGCCGTCCGCGCGCACAAACGCATTGTGCGTGGCGCCTGCAGAGATGGGCTGGTGAACACAGTACCGATCGAACCATTCGTACCACAGAAGGAACTGCGTCCAGCTCGATGGGGGCGCGGCGGCGTAGGCAGCACGCACGGTCGGGTTTCGCGCAAGCAATGCCTGCTCCACTGCAGACGAGGCTTGCCCAGGTGCCGGGCAATGGAAGCAACCCGCAGCACAGTCCACTGCAGCCACGTCCACGACGGCGAGCCGTCGCACGATCTGCGTCAACAGGTCGGAAGGGAGCGACGCGAGAGACACCGTCTCCATCGCGAGTCTCCCTCCATGCACCAACCCCAAACCCATCTACTCAGTACTCGCGCGGGACCCGAAAGGCGGACAGCGGCTGCAGTATTGCCACCGGCGTGATCGCTCCTCGCGAAGTCGTCGACAGCCGAGGTCTCGCGAGCCACTCGTCGGTTCCCTGCGGGAGCCGCTCCTCGATTCGTTGCGTCTCCGCTCGGTCGTCCATCGCCGCCAGCCACCCTCGGGTAGCGTTCAGTCGCCAGCTCTCCAGCTCGTCGTTTGGTCACCGAGGAGTCGGAGCGAACGCACCCCTCTACTCCAGGGGACGTGCCACCTGGACGCATCCCTCCTTGTCCCATTATCGAATTTGTGCAGGCGAGAGTACTCGTCCGAATTCCGGCGTTTTTCATAATTCTCACCCTACTATACTACAAGTACCGCACACGGCACACGATTGCACCGAGGTCTCCATTCCTTCCGGTCACACAAGTTAGCAACAGTTCCCCACTAGAAATTCTAGAATGAGCTGTGGTTGCATGCGTGCGTCCCTTCCTTTAGGAGGAGTGTTAAGAGATCCTGCCTCTTCCTATCTCTCTTCGCAGTCCCTCCAGAAAGAAAGAAAGAAAACAGACAAGCCAAGGGCAGTCCCTCCATTCTCGCTTCACGTTCGAGTACTTGGAGCACTTGGAGTGCAGTCATTAGCCTCACATCCAGGGCCGGGGAGCTAAGAAGCGCACCCAGCGGGTGCACTTGGAGCACTTGGAGTGCAGTCATTAGCCTCACATCCAGGGCCGGTGAGCTGAGAAGCGCATCCAGCGGGCCGGATGATCGGGATCGGGTTGCGGGCAAGAGAGCCCTAGCCCCGGGGGTGCGCGTTCGCAGGGCAAGGGCCTTAAAGTAAACACGGGTCTCCGAGGGTGCGGGTGAAATCTTTTTCTGTGGCTAACCTTGATATATCCATGTTGGTGAGCTCGGGCCGACGCGTCCTCTCCGTCACGCGTGCCCGGCTCCTCTCGACCGTCGCCGTCGCGTCGATGGAGGATGGCTCCCTGCGGGCGCACGTCTCGCGCCGTGGCCGCGAAGCCCCGGCGCTGCTGCCCCGCTACTTGTCGGATGCACGCGGCGTCGAGACCTTCGACGCGGTGTCGCGGCCCGACGGTGTGCTCCAGCTGTCTGTCGCGGAGAACCAGATGATATCGGACTGGCTCGTGCCACGGATCCGGTCGATCGCTGCCTCTCCCGCCTCGGACGCGCACGGCGGCGGCGCTGGGCTCTTTGAGCAGGCCGACATCTTCTACCAGCAGACGCACGGCACGCCGCAGTGCCGTGCGGCGGTCGCGGCGCACATGGAACGGGTGCTCTGCGGCGGCTCGTACCCGATCGACCCGGACAAGCTCGTCGTCGGCGCGGGCTGCAACGCGGTCCTCGAGAATTTGCTGTTTGCGCTCGCAGACGCGGGCGAGGGCGTCCTCGTGCCTCGGCCGTACTACGCGGCGTTCGAGTTCGACCTGCGTGCGCGCGCCGCACTTGAGGTGCTCCCCGTCGCGATCCGGCGCGGCGGCTTCGAGGCTTCGGGCTACTACCCCACCGCAGACGCGCTCGAGGCTCGCTGCGCCTGCCGTGCCAGATCTCGGCCAGATCTCGGCCAGATCTCGGCCAGATCTCGGCCAGATCTCGGCCAGATCTCGGCCAGATCTCGGCTGCACCTCGGCTGCACCTCGGCTGCACCTCGGCCGCACGCACCTAGGCGGCCTACGCGTCGGCGCTGTCTCGCGGCATCGCCCCCCGCGTGCTTCTGCTCTCATCGCCGAACAACCCTCTCGGCTTCTGCTACCCGGAAGAGGCTCCGGGGGCCGGGAGGGGGAGAGTCTGCACTCCTCTCGCCTCGCATGACTGGTCCTCCTTCCCTTTGCTAGGTCCTCGCCGAGTGCTGGGACTGGGCAGAGTCCAAGGAGAGCCCTCTGTCCCCGACCGAGATGCAGCCGAGATGCGCCCCGAGATGCAGCCGTGATGTGCGGCCGAGAGGCAGCCGAGATGCAGCCGAGATGTGCGGCCGAGAGGCAGCCGAGAGGCAGCCGGGAGGCAGCCGGGAGATGGCCGAGATGCAGCCGAGGTGCGGCCGAGGTGCGGCCGAGGTGCAGCCGAGGTGCAGCCGAGGTGCAGCCGAGGTGCAGCCGAGGTGCAGCCGAGGTGCAGCCGAGGTGCAGCCGAGGTGCAGCCGAGATCCAGCCGAGATCCAGCCGAGGTGCAGCCGAGGTGCAGCCGAGGTGCAGCCGAGGTGCAGCCGAGGTGCAGCCGAGGTGCAGCCGAGGTGCAGCCGAGGTGCAGCCGAGAGGCAGCCGAGAGGCAGCCGAGGTGCAGCCGAGGTGAAAACGAGATGTAGCCGAGGTGCGGCCGAGGTGCAGCCGAGGTGCAGCCGAGGTGCAGCCGAGGTGCAGCCGAGGTGCAGCCGAGATCCAGCCGAGGTGCAGCCGAGGTGCAGCCGAGGTGCAGCCGAGGTGCAGCCGAGATCCAGCCGAGGTGCAGCCGAGGTGCAGCCGAGGTGCAGCCGAGGTGCAGCCGAGGTGCAGCCGAGGTGCAGCCGAGGTGCAGCCGAGGTGCAGCCGAGATCCAGCCGAGGTGCAGCCGAGGTGCAGCCGAGGTGCAGCCGAGGTGCAGCCGAGGTGCGGCCGAGGTGCAGCCGAGGTGCAGCCGAGGTGCAGCCGAGGTGCAGCCGAGGTGCAGCCGAGATCCAGCCGAGGTGCAGCCGAGGTGTAGCCGAGGTGCAGCCGAGGTGCAGCCGAGATCCAGCCGAGGTGCAGCCGAGGTGCAGCCGAGGTGCAGCCGAGGTGCAGCCGAGGTGCAGCCGAGGTGCAGCCGAGGTGCAGCCGAGGTGCAGCCGAGGTGCAGCCGAGGTGCAGCCGAGGTGCAGCCGAGAGGCAGCCGAGAGGCAGCCGAGGTGCAGCCGAGGTGAAAACGAGATGTAGCCGAGGTGCGGCCGAGGTCGTAGGAGAATTTGCACGTCATCTCGGACGAGATCTACGCCGGCTCCGTCTACCGCACGCCAGCCGACGGGCAGCCGCCTTGGACGTCGCTCGCCACGGTGGGTTGGGCGGTGGGCGAGGGCGAGGGCGAGGCGGGTGAAGGATGAGGCCCTCCGCGTGTGAGTGAGTCAGGTGGCGGCGAGGCGAGGCCGGCAGCTCGGCCCGTCGGCCCACCTCGTCTGGGCTCTCTCCAAGGAGCCCCCCTCCCTCGTTTTCCCTACACGGCCCCTAGGCTTGACCTCGGTCTCTCGTTGGCTCTCTGGCTCTTGTCCCCGACTGGCCCTGACCTCCACCCCCCACCCCTCACCCCCCACCCCCCACCCCTCACCCCCCACCCCTCACCCCCCACCCCTCACCCCTCGCCCCCCACCCCTCACCCACCACCCCTCGCCCCTCACCCCCCACCCCTCACCCCCCACCCCTCGCCCCTCGCCCCTCACCCCTCACCCCCCACCCCTCACCCCCCACCCCTCACCCACCACCCCTCACCCCCCACCCCTCACCCCCCACCCCTCGCCCCTCGTCCCCTACCCACCACCCCTCACCCCTCACCCCCCACTACGCGCTCACTACTAGCCCCTG